CACCACTCTGGCCCAGCTCTGTCCAGGAGGGCCACTCGAGGCTGCAGGGAGCCAGGCCCTGCCTCTGTGCTCCTTCAGCTTCCCACAGGAGGGCCTAGCCCTGCCGGCCGCAGGGCTCCAAAGCCTTCTGCCTTGTCCCTGTTGGGGATCCACAGCCACGGAGCCCCGGGGCTCCCAGACCTTCCTTCCCTGGACCCCCCTGCTGCCCCACCAGTGGACTCCAAACTAAACCCTACAGTCCTGAATCCCCCAGGGCAAGCGCTCCATGAAGGGGGTTGTCATTTGTCATTTTTATTGCTCATCCTCTTGGCAAAACCCAAGGTCTTGGTTAGAGCTAGAACCCATACTACTAAGTGCAGTATCCCAAGAATGGAAAAACAAGCACCACATATACTCACCAGCAAACTGGTATTAACTGAGCATCACCTAAGTGGACACATAGGTACTGCAGTAATAGAGTATTGGGCAGGGGGGCGGGTATATACATACATAATGAGTGAGATGTGCCCCATCTGGGGGATAGTCATGCTGGAGACTCAGACTTGTGGGGGGAGGGAGGAATGGGCATTTATTGAAACCTTAAAATCTGTACCCCCATAATATGCCGAAATAAAAAAAAATGCACACACACACACAAAAAAACCCAAAACAACCACGGTCTCAGCGCCTCCCAGCATGGCTCCTGGCGTGCCTGCGCTAAATGGAAAGGACGGTCTAGGAGCGTCCCTCCTGTCCCCAAGGGGCCTTCAGGAGGTAATGTCCTTGCTTGGCTGCCCTGCTGGGTGGTGCTGGCAGGGTAAGAAGGAGGGGCACTGGGGGCTTGCTCTTCTGAGCCCTGGGGGTGAGGGAGGCTGCCCTCCGCTACACACCTAGCCTGGGGCAGAAACTCCTGGCCCTGGGCGGGAGGCTTGCCTTGCCCCTTCTTCCTGGTCAGACCCCTCCTGGAGCCGAAGCCCCGGGTCACTGCCCAGGGCTGCCGCCTGAGCAGCCTCCGTGTGTTCACAGACCTGGGAAGGGCGCGGGGCCCCGGGGCCCAGAGTCTGGAACAGCTTTCCAGCCCACCTAGAGCTTCCCATAAGCCCTTGGGCCTCATGGTCAAGAGAGGGGTGGACGGCGTCCTCTGGCCTCAGCCCCCTGGCTGTGACCATGGTGGATGGTGACCGGCAGCCTCAGCCCCTCCTCTCCAGGCCGAGTCATCCCCAGAGCCCTGGGAGAGGGACAGAGACCTGTAAAGTGACCACTGTGGGACTTCCCGCTGGCCTGGCTGCATGAGGACTCAGGCCGGATGTGATTTGGAGGAATAGGAATGTGGTCCGTCCCTCCCCTTGGCGTGCAGCAGTGCACACTCATTGCGCAGTCGGCAGTGCCTTCCACGCCAGCATCTCGGGCCCTCCGTCGCCTCTGGTGGGGAGAAGGTGAGGACTAGCATCTGGTATAGATGGGGAAACTGAGGCTCGGCAGGCACTTCCCTCAAGGCCACACAGTAAAGGTGCACAGGGTAGGGCCAGGGCCTGGGGCCCTGTCTCATGGCTGGGGCACTCCCCCCCGTCTGTCCAGGGGTCTCAGAGACGCAGAGGCCTCCCCTGCCCCCGACCTTGGCCGCACTGGGCCTGGCGTCCAGGATTAGTGGGATTAGCTCGGATCCTGGGGCTTGAGCTGGGCTTATCAGAGGCGCCACTCTGGGGACCTTGGGGGACGGTCTGGCGCTCTGTGCCTCCGGCTCTGTCTTGGTCGCCTTAGAGAGCGGATTCCCGCCCTGGCCGGCGGCCCACTCCTGTGCTCCAGCGCAGCGGGCAGCTGAACGGCCGAGGCCGGCCTTGTGCCTTGCGTGCCTGCAGCGCGAGTGGGCGGGAAGGGACCGAGGGGCCACTTTGTTCCCCTGCAGGGTCTGCCCCAGAAACAAGCCCTCCCTTGGCCGGAGCAGGCCCCTACCCCTGCTGGGCCGAGTCAGGGTTCTGTGGTGGGACCGGGTGGGACTGGGTCCCGCAGTCCCCCATGCCCACGTCTGTGCGGAGGGCTGTCGGAGGGCACTGTGGACTGCAGTGCCCAGCCCGGCCCCACGCACCTGGGAGGACGGGCGGCAAGTGGGGCGAGGGGCAGGTGAGGGGGAACCAGTGCTGAGCAGGGCTGAGCCTCGTGCAGGGGGTGCTCTGCATACGCTAAGGAGACTCCCAGCCACTGAGCACCTGCCTGGCTCTGCCCCGTCCCGTCCATGTGCCACTGTCCCCGCCGTCCCTGTCAGAACCAGCGCCGTGCTCTCCACTCTCGGGCCTGCTGGGCTCTGCAAGGACCGTGGAGAGCGGGAGGGAGAGCAAGTGTGTGGGGCCTGGCAGGGCTGGGTGGGCGCCCAGCCGCGTGACCTTGGGAAATTGTTCCTCACATCTGTGGGGGTGCCGCGTCCCCCTAGCGAGGGACACACCAGGTGATGGGATGGGCACACCTGTGGATGGTGTAGGGTTTGCGAACCAAACGACTGTCCCCCTGGAACCTGGGACAGTTAGCTTGAGCCCTTGGGGATGGGGATGGGGACGGGGCAGGGCGAGGGCCTCACAAGTGCCCCCAGCAGCCCTGACCACGGAGGACATCACCGAGGGTAGAGATCCCATTGGCCGCAGCCCTGAAACCCGCAAGATATCCAGGATTCAGTCTGGCAGGAAAAGTGCCAAATTCACACGAAAAAACTGATGACACTTTCCTGAAGGCTGTTGAGGGAAAACCAGAAGAAACAGAGAGAGATTTCATGTTCCGGGAAGAGAAGAGCTGACATGGCCAAGAGATTTATTTTTCAGACATAAAACCAGTGCAAGTCCGACCACCTTTTGAAAATGCAACTTGGTAACCTGATTCTAAAGTTTGCCTGGAAAAGAAAGGATATGAGAGCAGCCAAGGAGGTTTTGAAACACCGGCCGGTGGCGGTGGCTCACACCTGTAACCCTAGCACTCTGGGAGGCCGAGGTGGGAGGATCACTTGAGCTCAGGAGTTCAAGACCAGCCTGAGAAAAAGCAAGAGCTTGTCTCTACTAAAAGTAGAAAAATTACGCAGATGTGGTGGCGAGCACCTGTAGCTACTCAGGAGGCTGAGGCAGGAGGATCCCTTGAGCCCAGGAGTTTGAGGTTGCTGTGAGCTAGGCTGACGCCACGGCACTTTAGCTGGGGCAACAGAGCGAGACTCTGTCTCAAAAAAACCCAAAAAACTAAACTACATTAGATCCCTACCTCACACCATGCATAAAAATAAATTCCAGATGCATTAAAGAGCTTTTATACATCCATATTTTGTGGTTGTGCTTATGCATTACAGAGTGCGTATATATATAAATATATAAAATTTGTGTATGTGATAAAATTAATAGAAGAAAATATAGGAGTATATTTCTATACACTTGGGGGCTGCGAATGTCCTTTCTTTTTAAAAATATTTATTTTTTATTTCAGAATATTACAGGGGTACAAACGTTTTGGTCACATAGATGGCTTTTGTACCGTTTGAGTCAAAATTGTAAGTGTGACTTTCTGACAGTGCACACAGATTAGAAGCCATGAAGAGAAAGATTGAACTGATAGTATGTTCAAGAAGATCTGTTGAACAAACGACAACTGAAGCAGAGTTCAAGGCAGACGACTGGGAGAAAACATCACAGCTGGAGGGGGAGTGCGATTGGCAGGGGCATCTGGGGGAGGAAGTGGGGTGTCTACGGGCTCGCTTTTACCAAACTTAGTATGATTTGGCTTTTTCAGTAACAAGAATGGTTTGCATAAAAACTACCAAAACGATGCCAGGCTGGAAGTGTGTGGCTTCAGGTCCCCGGATTGCTGGGAAGGGTGGGGATTGGCAGGAGCCTGAGGTGACCTCTTCAAGCCCGTTCCACGGTGGGGACCACGAGACAGCAGGCCCTGGGGCCTGGGGCTGGGGGGCCTGGGGCTGGCACGGAGGCCTGGCAGGTGGCCAGGGGGTGGGTCTGCAGCAGGGCAGGTGCCTGTTCAGGGTGCTCTGGCTGGAGAGGAGCGCATTTCCGATCAATCCGCCCTTCTCAATGCCAGCTGGACCTCTGCCAGCGTCTCCACCCCCACCCCCGCCCCTGCCTGCCAGGAATCCCGGCAGGCTCTGGTTCCTGTTGCCAGGCCAGCTGGGCCAGCCTGCCCCATTCTGCGGCCCTGCTGAGAGACAGTGCCACCCCCTCCCGGAGGACGGCTCTCCCCGTCTTGGCAGCCTGCCCCATTCTGCGGCCCTGCTGAGAGACAGTGCCACCCCCTCCCGGAGGACAGGGCCTCCTACCGCCTGTCTGGGCCAGAGGTTGGCACTCGCCTTGGTGATCGTTTAGCCAGCACCTCCTGTACGTAACGCTCTGGGCCGGGAGCTTCGTGGGCAGGGCCACCGTAGATGGTGGCAGTAGGTAGTGTTTTAGAACTTCTGTAAGATCTCAAATAAATGCTAAAACAGGTGGGTCTCAGCTACATAAAGGTTAAGCAGGAAAAGCATCGGTGGCTGAAGACTGGGAAACAGAAACTTTATATCTGGAAAAACTGAGGTCTGGACAGGTCTCTCCTGCCTGGTGTCCCACAGTCACTCGCCTGGATGACGCTGACACTCCACAGTGGGCGGGGCGGGCCCTCTTACCCACCGCCTCATCTGATACAACAGCCACTCTGTCCCTATGACACAGAAGGGGGGGACGGAGGCCCCGAGAGGACGGGGTCTTGCCCAAGGCCACACACAGGTCAGGGGCAGAGCTTATTTGGAGCCAGAGAGGCCTCTCGTTGTGTGCAGGAGCCAGACTGCCCGGGCTTGAATCCGGGGGCTGCCACTCGCTGCCTGTCACCTCCAGCAAGTCACTTCACTGCCTGGAGCCTTCCCTGTCCCCATCTGTGAAATGGGCATCCTGGGCTGCGGTGAAGGTGCCTGGGCACGCAGCGTGTGGTCAATGGTCGCCAACCGTCATGCTCAGACGTCAAATGCTTGCCACTCTCTCTCTCTGGGGCCACAAGACACTCAGACCGGGGCTGGGGCAAAGAATAAACTTTAATCTCTCTCAGGGTGGGGGTTCTAGTTAGACTGCTCTTTGGGGGGCCCCACGGTGCCGTGCACTCGCACGCGGTACAGGCAGGTGAAGCGCGGGTTCCCCCAGTTGCTGGAGATCTTCACCTTGACCGAATTGAAAGCCCGGACCGGCTGGTTCTGGAAGGGAGAGTCGGACACCAGCAGCTCACTCCTAGACGCCCACCCCCGCCACCGTCCAGGGGGGCATCTGGGAGTGGAAGGGAACTCTCCCAGTTCACAGGTGGGAAACTGAGGCCAGAGAGGGGAATGGTCTGTCCCAAGGCCACACTGCAAGTCAACACTGAAGGGATTGTGTGGAAGGTGTTAGGCCAGAAGGATGGACATCCTGTGGTTGGGAATGTCCCAGCCTTAGGGCCCTGTGCAAGCCACCACTCCTCTCTGGGCCTCAGTTTCCCCCTTTGCCACGTGGGAGTGGGACTATCTGCTTCCAGGATTGCTGTGGGGCTGGGCAGCTCACCCATACCCAGCCCGTGACAGCAGCTCTGAGCGCGCCCCCTCCCCACCTGCCCCTCGAGGGGGAGTGGAGCTGACTTGGCCTTCAAGACCTCGCTGAATGGTTTCAGCCTCCCAGGGAATTACAGAAGGGGAAACTGAGGCTCCAGCTAGGAAAGGAATGGCCAAAGCTCACACGGAATTTGTGGTTGGGCTGTGATTTGTGCAAGTAATGAATGGTCCATTTCCCACTCGCCCTGTCAAGTTCCGTGGCCATTCCAGGAGCCACCCCTTGGGTCCTCCTTCGGTCCCCGATTCCTCCCCTCTAGGCCTCAGTTTCCCCACCTGTGGTTGGGTCAGGTGCTGATGAGGGGGTCTCCCAGTATGCAGACTCTACCTTTGGAGCCAGCAACCCCTGGAGATGGGGATTGCCAGATGCTCAACACTGCTGTCCCCGGGAGGCGTGCAGCAAGAGGGCTCTGGGGCAGACAGGGGACATGGAGGATGACCAGGGGTTGGGCTGGTTTCCCTGGGCTCCTGCTCTCGGCCCTGAGCAGTGGCTCCATCTCTCTGAGCCTCAGTTTTTCTTGCCTGTCAGGTAGGTTAGTAACGCCCGAGCACCTCCTAGGGCTGTGGGGGGATGAAGCGGGGCCCCTGGGTAGAGCCTGCACACTGTGCACATCAGCAGGTGCTCAACACAGGCAGCTTTTCTCAGCTACCTGGAGTGGGAACATCTGAATGATGTTTTCTGGCTGAAACTGAAACGCCCCCAGGAACACTTCCTCCTTGGGGGAGCTTTCCATGCCCTGTGGAAAGAGAAGGTGTCAGATACAAGCAGGGCCTCCAAGGGTGTCTCCCTTCTCCAGGTGAGACTTGCACACCTCCCAGGATGGGGAGCTCCTTACCTACTCAGGTACCATTCCATTGCATCATGGTGTAATGGACAAGAAAGAGCACAGGGCTGGAAGTCAGGGGCTGAGGGTCTACTTCTAACTTTGCCATTGACTTGTAGGATTAGGGGGTGTCCCCAACCCTCCTCTTGGCCTCATTTTACTGAGGAGGTCCAGATAATTCTTTGGACCTTCTAAGCAAGATGGGGGCTCAATGGTTTGGCTCTGAAAAGCTTGGGGTGAAATAGGGTGGCTGCCTCTCCTCTACCCTTGAAGGCGGAGAGCTGACCCGCTGTCGCCGGCCACTCCCAGCCTTCACCGAGCCACATCCAGCCCTCTAGCCTGCACGAGCTGTGCAGACACTGTTTCTCGCAGGCCTGCGGTGCCACCGTCATGAGGCTGTCCCTTCAGTTAAGCACTGCTCCCTGCTGGGGAGTGCTCACGTAGATGACAAAGTCCTTGGGGGCGGTGTCCAGGCTGCCCGACAGTGAGATGGTCTTGGGGATGTGTTGCAGTGTGAGGTTGGACAGGTAGACCTTCTGAGCCAATCGGATCGTCACCTGGCCTCGGTCACCCTCGAAGGCCCAGCAGTTGCCAGGTGTCACGTTGGGCTAGAAGAAGCAGGTGGGGGGGCAGTCTGTGATGGGGTGTAGGGGGAGTTCCTCATCCTACCTCGCATCCCCTACACTTTCTAGGTCCTCCCAAATGAGCCAGTCCTTGTCTACAAAGTGTGGCTCAAATGCCGCCCTCTCTAGGGAGCTCCCTGACTGCTTATGGTGAGGACAAGCCCCTTGAGCCCAGCAAAGTGAGTGCAGGGGTCTGCTTCATCCATCCATCCATCCACCCCGTCATTCTTTATACGGTCTTACCCCATGACTGAGGCGCCATTACCACTCCCCCATTTTGCAGATAAGGAAACTGAGGAACAGAGCAGAGAAATGACTGGTCCTGGGCCATGCAGAGCCAGAAATGCAACCCAGGCCATTTTATCCTGGAGCTTGTGATGAACCACTACAATCTCCTGTTCCATAAAGAGGAAACAGAGGCCCAGAGAGGGAGAGTTTTGGCCAGAATCACACAGCAAAGACACTCACTTAGTAGGCCCTGAGCTTTGTGGAGACACAGCTCCTTATCTGGAGCAGTAGATGCTAGAATGGGGGCGCAGAGGGCGTGGGGTCAGGGAAGGCATCCCGGGGGAGCAGGGACAAGGGACATTAGGAGTTAGCTGGGAAAGCGAGCCGAGGGGACAGCATGGAGAGGGCCCAGTGTGGAGCCAGGCTCCAGACGTGGGAGCTGGAGGGAGCTTGGTCAGGATGGGATGGAAAGCAGGGCCGCTTCTCACCTCTGCTCTGACCTGACTGTAGCCCTCCCTGCCCGGCCTGCCAGTCACCCTGCGCTCCTTGGACTCACGCTTGGCTTGGGCCCTGCCATTCCCTCTGCGTGACCAATACCAGGAGGAGGATGCCCCCCACCCCCAGCTGGGCAGGACCGCTGCTGCCCCAGCCTGCCCCGAGTGCGGAGCTCGAGCTCCTTGACGATGGAGCCCGCAGACAAGTCCCCTGTGGCCTTGGCCCCCCAGGGCTGGCCACCAGGACGAGAGGCTCAGCTGGTGTTTGCTGAGCAAAGGCACTTGCTCTGTGACCTGGACAAGCACCTTCCCCGCCCTGGGCCTCAGTTTCCTCCTCGGTGAGGCAGGGTTCCCCAGGGGTAAAAAGCTCACATTTGAATTCTGGCTCTGCCATATGCCAGTGACCGGCTATGTGGCTGCAGTCAAGTGACCTGGCTCTTTGAGCCTCAGTCTCCTCTGCAAAATGGGTATATCACAGGCCTGTCCCCAGGGTGGCTCTGAGGGTTCCCTGACCCTCAAGGGCTGGGGCTTCAGGCCCCTTCCGGTCCCAAGAGCAGGTTGTCCTGTGTCCTGCCCCTGTCCCCAACTGCAGTGGCCCTGCTCTCTGTCCTGCCCCCGCCCGTCTTCTCTCCAGCCACACCTTGTCAGTTGTCCCCCTGCCCCTTGCCCTTGCCCCATCTGTCTCCTGCTCCTATCTCTTGCCCTGCCCCTGCACTGGCCCCTTTGATCCCACCCCCAACCTCTGCTGCCAGCTCTGGTCCCCAGACCCTGCCTGACCACGCCCCGGCCGCTCTCCCCACCCCCACCCCCCCTGCCTCAAGGATCACGTCCGGGGGCTGCGCATAGTTCCACAGCCGGATCCAGTTCCAGTAGGAGCGCGCCTTGTCGTGGTTGTACGTGGCCGACGTGTGCTCAAAGTCGATGCTGGACCCTGTGTGGGGGGAGGTGGGTCTCAGCCGAGCAGCCTGGCTTCGGCCTGGTGGAGGGGACCCCATGACTAGGCCTTCCCTATGTGCTGGGTGAACACTTTGGATGGCTCACTGGTCCTCTCTGGAACTCAGTGTTCCCCTCTGGGAAACGGGAGCAGTGACAGTAGCAGTCGCAGCAGTGATGGCAACATCCGCTTCACAGGGCTCCCCGCTGCTGCCGAGAGCTAATTCATCAAAGTGCTGGCCGCACATTTCACTGAGTCCTGGGAGCCCGCACGAGCCATGGCTGCCTGGCCGGGATCTCGTCCTGGGCTGCCCTGCGCTGGCTCCTGAGGGCTCTTCATGGGGCATCGTCTGCATTATGTCCCTTGGTCTGGAATAATGCTCCCTCCTCACCAAGCCTCAGCCCAAACGTCCCCCCAGGAGGCCTCCCTCTATTCTGAGGGAGAGAGTGGGGGCGGGGAGGTCACCCACCTATAGACTTCAGGGCAAAGTCCGGCTTTTCAATGTAATCTCCTTGTATCATCTTCATTATTTTCTGGGCCAGTTTTTGCTGAGAAGGCAGAAAGCACCAGCTGTGCACTGGCACGTTCTTCCAGATCCTGATCCCCTCCTGCATGTCCACACCAGGTGACAGGTGCTGCAGGACACCCTCTCCTCCCTGATGGCCTATCCCTGTCTGCAGAAGCCCATGGCCGGGTGCCCACAGGCCTGCCCAGTCGCTGTGCTGTGAGGGAGCCCCGGCTGCAGAGAGCCACCCCACACCCACCCACAGGGTTTACCAGTGACCAGATGTCACGGGAGGGTCCTGGAGTCTCAATGAGCTTAATTGCTCAGGAATCAGGCAGACCTTTACTGCTAGGGGCCTGTGGGCAATTTGCTGCCCCTCCAAGCCTCAATTTTCTTCTCTGTAAGATGGGGACAGTAATCGTGTCTATCTCTCACTGTTTGGAGGGTGCTGTTATAGAAATCTCTAAAGCCCCTACCATGTGCCAGGACTGTTCTCAAGCTCCTAGGGATTAAAAAAAATCAAAACAGACCACACTCAAAAGATCAATAATAAGAGTGGCATTAGATTTCTCAATAGCAACAGTACAAACTATATAGAATACAGTGGTGAGCTTCCTTCAAAATTCTCAGGAGAAACGATTTCCTATCTAGAGTTCTATACCCAGCCAAACTATCAATCAAGTGCAAGGATGGAATAAAGGTGTTTTTAAACATGCACGTTCTAAAAAAATAAATATACTTATTCCTTCACTCTTTTACAGGAAGTCATTGAGGGATGTACTCCATCACAATGAGGGATAAAACCAGGGAAGAAGACTTGGGAGAGAGGAAACAGGGCACCAAATGAAGATAAGTTAGGTGTCTAGGGCAGAACGGCCAGCATCTCACCTCATCTGACATGGCTTCCATCTCCTGGAGCTTGGCAATAAGGAGGTTCATGCTACCTCGGAGGTCCTGGATTTCTCCAGTGTGATGTCGCACCTTCTCCTGGTACATCCTTGTCAGGAAGGAGTGAGAACGAGAACTGATGAATTTGTGATGCTGCTATTATTACTCTCAGATTCCTCCTTTGCTAGTTATCCTTCAAAGAACTAGCTTCAGATCCTTCCACTCTCTTGGGCCCATCCCTAACCACCCCTCCCCTAGCAGGGTCTTATCTCTAAAGCATTCTGTTCCTTCTGCTTGGAATATCCTTACGCCCTTCCAAATATTCCTGAGTAGTTTGTCTGCAATTAAGGATGCTGACACCAAGTGTGTCTTGTCAGTTAAAATTTCTTCTCAGCTACCATTTGCTGAGTACTGACTATGCACCAGGAACTATTCAAGATACTTTTCATCCTCTTTAATGCCCATAACTACCCAGAGCAAGGTGGGCAGTAAGCCTCGTCTCATAAATGAGGAGTCAAAGGCAGAGAGATTAAATGACTTGCATAAGGTCATTCAGGTAGGAGGTACAGGAGCTAGAATTTAAAACCACATTGGTCTGACTATAGAGCCTATATTCTTTTCCATTACACTCCAGATTCTGGCTGTATCTCTGGTTTTAGGTAATTATGTGACTACTCAAATGATTCCTCTTACCTCAAGCTCTGCAGTGGACTATTTATGCTGTCATCCTGGTGAAGTGTTGAGAAAAGCAAGGGATCTTCTTCAGATGGCCTAATCTCGGCCCAATAGTGCTTCATCCATCCATTTTCTCATAAATCCATCCATTCATCCACTTTCCTGTTTGCTCTTCCATTCATCTATGCACCCATCATTTATCCAAACTCTCATTTACTCTCCTTTTAATCTATCCATCCACACCCCATCCATCTACTTTTCTAAATTTTTTTTTTTTTTTTTTTTTTTTTGAGACAGAGTTTCGCTTTGTTGCCCAGGCTAGAGTGAGTGCCGTGGCGTCAGCCTAGCTCACAGCAACCTCAAACTCCTGGGCTCGAGTGATCCTTCTGCCTCAGCCTCCCGGGTAGCTGGGACTACAGGCATGCGCCACCATGCCCGGCTAATTTTTTTATATATATATCAGTTGGCCAATTAATTTCTTTCTATTTATAGTAGAGACGGGGTCTCGCTCTTGCTCAGGCTGGTTTTGAACTCCTGACCTTGAGCAATCCGCCCGCCTCGCCCTCCCAAGAGCTAGGATTACAGGCGTGAGCCACAGCGCCCGGCCCATCTACTTTTCTATCCATACATCCTGCTCGATTCATCCACCCTTTCATCCACCCATCTATTAATTCACCCACCCACCCACTCACTCATCTATCTCATCTGCCCTCACATCTATCCACTATCTCCTCCATCCATTCTCCCATTTACCTATTCATCTATCCTCCCATCTCTTTCCGCTAGCCCTATACCCACCACATCAAACCTCCTATCCATATATTCATCCATCCTCCCATCCATTCTCCCTCCATTGACACTCCCATCTGGCCATCCAGTCGTCCAGCACTGATAGTGGCAACCCTGTGCTTGGTACTGAGCTGGACATTGCTGGGATGAACCAGACCTGGCTTCTTCCTTCAAGAAGCTGCCAGCACAGTTGGGGAGACAGTCATGATTACAGAAAGTTGTGGGAGGAACGAGGGCAATGTGACCACCTCTGCCAGAGTGTTCCTAGAGGATATGACATTCATAGGATATGAAGGAGTTCATAAGGGTGAGGAGAGGACAGGGAGGGACAGGCCTCTCAGATTCCCTTTCCAAGGCCTTCGGAGACTTTTTGCTGTCCTCCAACAGGGAGATCTGGCCACTTATTTCCTCCTCCTTCCTCCCCAGGAATCACAAAGCAAATGGGTAGTTTCATTTAAGCAGAAGAACAAAGTGCCTTCAGTAGAGAAATGGGTTCCCTGTTCTCACTATCCCACTTTAGATGGGTTGTTTCTGGGAGTGACTGACAGGAGAGCCACCCTGTGGGAGGGACTGTTGCATCTGGTCTTTGAGAGTCACATTTGGCAGAAGAGATGGTTTCTACGTGGGTGGCATGACAAAGGCAGAATTTTGGATCTGGGATAAGTCAGCAACTGGGTCCAGATGTGGTGAGAATGAGGGGAGCCATGGAGGTGCCATGGGCTGGCCAGGGTGAGACCAGTCAGCTGTGGGCGTGAAGAGGGCACACACTCACCTGCCAGACTTCCACTCTCGATGGTAAGTGAATAGAAAACATCCAGAATCCTGTGGGGCCATGAGAATAAGAACGAGCCATCAATATGGAAGTGAAGGGCTTAGGCTCTGGAGTTAAGGCATCTGGGCTGAAATCCCAGTTTTGCCACTTGCTAGCATTGTGCAACTTGGGGAGATGTTGCTTAACCCTATATGGCCCTATATCTCAGTTTCCTCCTCTGTAAAACTGGAATAACAATAACATCCACTTCAAGATCAAATGATATCATATACGTTACATGTGTCACATAAACCAAATAATCTGCGACTCCACCCCCTCCTCTGTCCCAACCCTACTGGGGATAATTGGCAAAGAGAAGAAGGCATTCTGCATTTTATGATCTCCATGCTGACTGAAATACCACCATTGGAGCCGTTATATAAAAGCCTTTACAACTTATTTGTTGTTCTTGATATAACATGAAACAAACTAGGAATAGAAGAGAACTAACTTAGCCTGATAAGCGTCATTTATGGAAAACCCACAACTAACATCCTATTTAATGGTGGGAGACTGGATGCTTTCCACCCTACAATCAGAAACTAGAGAAGGATGTCTGCTCTTGCCATTTCTATTTAATGCAATACTGGAGGTCCTAGCCAGGTCAATTAGTCAAGAAAAAGAGGTAAAAGGCATTTAGATTATCACACAGTAATAACTAAAACTACCTGTGTTTGTAAATGATATGATCTTGCATATAAAATTCTAAAGTATCCAAGACTTTTCTTCAAAGAATATCCACAAATCGCCAATAAGCACAGGAGGAGATGCTCAGTATCACTATTCATTAGGGAAATGCAAATCAAAACCATAATGAGATGCCACTTCATACCCTCTAGGATGGCTATAATAAAAAAAAAACAAAAACACCCAGATAATAGCAAATATTGGTAAGGATGTGGAGAAACTGGAATTCTCATACATTGCTGGTGAGAATGTAAAATGGTGCAGCCACTTTGGAAAACAGTTCGTTAGTTCCTCAAATAGTTAAACATAGTTACCATATGAGCCAGGTATATACCCGAGAGAATTGAAAACACCTCCACAAAAGCATTATTAGTAATAGCAAAAAAGCAGAAACAACCCTAGTATCCATCAAATGAGGAACGGATAAAAACCAATGAAGTACTGATACATGCTATAACATGGATAGACTTTGAAGACATTATGCTAAGTGAAAAAAGCCACAGAGGCCACATAGTGTTTTACTCAATGATATGAAAAGTCTAGAATGGGCAAATCAATAGAAACAGAAAACAGATCAGTGCTTGCCTAGGGCTGGCGGGGTTGGGTGTGGGGAACAAGAAGTGACTGCCAGGGGCTGGGGGATTCTTTTTGAGTTGGTGAAAATATTCCAGAATTTGATAATGGTGATGGTTGCACAGCCTTGTGAATATACTAAAGACCACTGAGTTGTATGTATGAGGGTGAACTTTATGGCATGTGAATTTTATGTCAAGAAAGCTGTTACATGCAAAGGTCCTATGTGTGCAGTGAAGGCAGGAAGGTGCTCGTCGTCCTGCGGGGAGCTGGTTCTCGCTCCTTCCCTGCCCCCCACCCCCACCTCTGAGACCAGCATACCTGAGTGGAGGGGAGATCCCTTTGCTTGGGAAAGCCGAGCTGTGACGTGGGAGGCGGGGGTGGTGGCGGAAAAGAAGCCACGGAAACCCATAAAGAGGGAATGACAATTGTGATAACATGGTTTGGAGAGAGCTTTACAGTGTTCAAAGAGCTTTACAGTGTTCAAACTTTTTGGGCTTCCAAAAAGTTTTCTTGGTCATCATTTCATTTAATCCTCACAGCAACACCCGTCAGACAGATGGGGAAACTGAGTCACACAGAGCAGCAGTGTCTTGTCCAGTGTTCCCTAGTCAGTGCAGAGCCCTGGGCTACTTTGACCCGGGACTCGGCGGGGCCCTGGGGACGCACCGAAAGCACAGAGGACCAGGACTCCCGTCTTCTCCATGACCTTCTGGCAGAACAGTTTGCATCTGGAAGACAGGGACGTGGTGGCCGAGGCGGGGCTGGCAAGTCCCTGGCAGGGGTGCACCCTCCTCCGCCTTCTCTCCCTGGTGATCGCGTCCTTCAGGACTCAGCTCAAGTGTCCCCTCCTCCTAAGCCCTCCAGAGTCAACACTCCCAGCCTGGCACTGTTTTGGGGTCTGCCTTTCCCGCCTGACCGGGAGCTCATGAATGGTGGGGGCCGCGGCTGGGCCCAGAGTAGGCACTAAGGAATCGCGTAGAATATAAACTGTAAATGAATGAATGAGTGAACAGCCATGCTGGAACTCAGAGAAATTTACATGGGCAGGAAGGGTGAAGGGAAAGGGTGGGACGGGCACTCTGGGTGAGAACAGCACGTGCAAAGGCGTGGAGGTGCGGGTTGGAATGGGGTGTCCAGGGAGTGACCACCCTAGCCTTGCTGGTCCAGTGGGTCAATATCAGGAAGCAGAGTGAGGGCAGCATGGGAAGGAGGGGCTGGAGCAATAGGGAGCCACAGTGGGTTCTGGAGGGAGGATTTGATAAAAGCCAGGTCTGGGATAGCTATCTGGTCTGGCTACCAAGGGGAGGTCCAAACCGATGGAGGGCTGCTATGGTCCCCAGCTGTCTGTTTCCAGCCCCCATCCCCTCCCACCCCTGCTCACCTGCAGGTGTTGAACAGGACTTGCTGGGCCTGAGTTCTCAGGAAGCAGGCCACGAAGGTGACCCAGGCTGCAGAGGACACAGAGCAGCAGTGAGTCACTGCACTCTCATCTTTGTCCCAGTATGAGGACTTGCTGACTGTCCTGGGGCTGGGGAGAGGCCCTGGAGCTGAGAGACCCTCTCAATCAGCTGCTCAAGCCTTTGGCCCTGCTTATGGGTAGGCGCCGGCCTGGAGTGGGTGTGGGTCCTGTGGATGAGCAATGCTTGTCCCTGCTGGCACCAAAGGCCAGAATGTGCCTGTGCCCACTCCCAGCCACCAGGAGCTGGGCAAGGCCAGGGGCCTTTGGCCTATTCCTCTGGATGCCCAGCATGGAGCGAGGCAAAAAGTAGGGGTTCAGGGGTTCAGGGATGGGCAGGAGGGTGGGGGCATACAGGGGTGGGTGGAAGAATAGAGAAGAGATTGGCTGGCTTGGAAGGCGGGTGAATAGGAAGACTGCTGAGAGGGTGGGAGGATGGCAGGCAGATGAATGGGCTGACGGCTGGGTGGGCGTGCCTGTGAACAAGTAAAGGCATGGGCGAACCCGTGAGTGACTCGAGGGCTGGCTGGATGGACGGCAGCAGTGGCCAGGCCCCTGCAGAGTAGGGGAGGGCTGGCCGTCAACTCCTCCTCCAAACGGTGAGTCTCCCACCCACTTCTCTCCAACCACCAAAGAGATCCCAGCTGGGATGCCACCTCTGAGTCCAGAGCGCCCCCTGCAGCTCCCAACCGCTCCTGCAGCCCATGGCAGGCATTACTACCCGGGGTCAGCCTGGCCTGACGCTGGGCCCTCTGCCCAGGCCCGCGCTGATGGCCAAGGAGGTTCTTCCGTAGATACGTACACATACATCCCAGCATGCACTGAGTCAGGCCCAGAGCTGGGGTGTTGATGCGGACGGGCAACAGGAAGGGGTCATCTGCAGAGAGCACAGGACTGTCATGTCACTGCCGGCCTCTGGGGTGTGGTCTTGCAGAGACCTGGGCAGTGCCCAGAGCTGGGTGCGAGCCTCCCCGCCCCTGTGCCCCTGCCTCTTGCTGGGAAGACCCTAGAGCGCCCCTCCCTGCTCACTCAGGTTTGGGGAGGAGTCGTCCGTTATCCTGCACGTGTTCCGGCTTCGCTGGGCAGCCCTGGGAATGACAAGATTCACAGTAGCATTTTATAATTTACCAGGAACCACATTCCAGACAGCTAAACTGAGTTACAGGGAAGTTTGCCCGAGACCACCAGCCTGTGAGTCTGGGACACACCCAGGTCTGGCTGACCCGAAATCCAGGTCCTTATTGAGGAAAGAACTCAGGACTGCTGTGACAGTCACAGGTGGTTGTCACCATGTCCCAGAGGCTGGCAGAAGCCTGGTTTTGTTCCTTTCTCTACTCCTACTCCATGTGATTTTAGACCATCCTGACTGGTCAAAGCCCATTCCTTGGCCATGATTGGTTCAAGGTGAAGAGCAAAGCAATGGCAGGAACCTGGGTCTTGAGTGACAATGCAGAACTGCGGAGCCACCATGCCTTGGGGCCTCTTGGTATGTGAGATAAAAACATTTTCTTTATTTCTTAAGCCAAAGGTCCCCAAATGTGTCTTATTATACCCCCAGTGTGTTTATATTTATTTATGAAAAAATTGTATGGCCAGGTGCGGTGGCTCACACCTGTAATCCTAGTACTCTGGGAGGCCGAGGCAGGAGCATCATTTGAGCTCAGGAGTTCGAGACCAGCATGAGCAAGAGCAAGACCCCATTTCTACTAAAAAATAGAAAGAAATTGGCTGGACAACTAAAAATATGTAGAAAAAATTAGCCAGGCATGGTGGCGCATGCCTGTAGTCCCAGCTACTCGGGAGGCTGAGGCAGAAGGATTGCTTGAGCCCAGGAGTTTGAGGTTGCTGTGAGCTAGGCTGATGCCATGGCACTCTAGCCTGGGCAACAAAGTGAGACTCTGTCTCAAAAGAAAAAAAAAACCTCTCTGGTGTCAGCTGCCGCATCTGTAACGTGATGATGGCCGCTCACCTCCAAGGAGGGCAGAGGGACAGCACTCGTAACCCGAAAAGCACCAGGCAGAGAGAGGGGCTGCATCCTCACCTCCTGGACCTGGCACAGTGGGCCGCATCTTCGGGTGGGCAGCCCGAGTCCCCAGGGCTCCTTGAGGACCGTGGCATCGATTCCTTCGCTAGGATTGGGCGATCTCAGGGAGTTGGCGAGGAGGAAGTGGCTGCTGCTGCTGCTGCTGCTACCGCCGAGCGTCTCCTGGGAGGTGCCACGTGGAATCTGCCCAGGTCATGTGGAGCGGTCGGCACTGTGATCTCACAGAGCAGGTGGGGGTGGTGCTGCCCAGTCTCCAGCCTGGCCCCGGAACCTCCCATCACAGGCAGCCGTTGTGACCAACTCTCCACTTTTTTTTTTTAGACAGAGTCTCACTCTGTTGCCGAGGCTAGAGTGCCGTGGCGTCAGCCTAGCTCACAGCAACCTCAAACTCCTGAGCTCAAGCAATCCTCCTGCCTCAGCCTCCCAAGTAGCTGGGACTACAGACATGCGCCACCATGCCTGGCTTATTTTTTCTATATATTTTTTAGTTGTCCGGCTAATTTCTTTCTATTTTTAGTAGAGATGGGGTCTCGCTCTTGCTCAAGCTGGTCTCGAACTCCTGACCTTGAGCTATCCTCCTGCCTCAGCCTCCCAGAGTGCTAAGATTACAGGCATGAGTCACAGTGCCTGGCCTGCTCTCCACTTTTAAGATGTGGAAATTGAGGCCTCAAGATGGGCGGGACCATGCCAGTGTCTGAGAAGCTGGGTGAGAGCTGAGGCTCCAATCAGAAGGCCGTGCACTTCCTTGTTCCCTAGACCCCTTCCTGCCCTGAGCTTCCCAGGTTTACCACCTTTTTAGGTTGTATGTGAACACACTTTGCAATGCGGAGCTTCTCACTGGTAGACATCCTGCATAACACAAAATAACATTACACGTGTTGCTGTTTCAATAAAGTAGTTTTCACTGGGGAAAAATAAAAGCAGAACAGAGTGGAAATGTTTGGCTCAGCGTTTTCTGTCAACCCTGCCTGTGGAGAGCCTGTTGATTTGGAGAGTGAAGCCAAAATGAATTCACTTTTGCCCCCTTGTGGCAGTTGCTCTAAATTGCAGGCAAAGTACCTGTGGGAAGTGGAATAAAGGTCCCCCAAAGAGACCCACATACCAAATCCTGAATATGTGAATATGTTAGGTTACGTAGCAAAAGGGAAATAAAGCTAGCAGATGGAATTTAGGTTGCCAATCAGCTTACCTTGAGATGGGGAGAGTATCCTAGATTATCCATACAGGCCTCATGTATTACAAGGTTCTTACAAGTGGGAGATGGAAAGATGGTAGCATGAAAAGTGCTCAGCTCAACACTGCTGGCTTTGAGGATGGAGGAAGGAGCCAGGAGCCAGGGAGTGAGGGCAGGCTGTAGAAGCAGAAAGGGCAAGGAAACAGCCTTTTCTCAAGCCCCCAGAAAGGAATGCAGCCTGCCAATACTTCCTTGATTTTAGCCCAGCGAGACCCATTTTGGACTTTGGACCACCACAATGGTAAGATGATAAATTTGTGTTTTAAGTCACCAAGTTTGTGGCAATTTGTTATGGCAGCAATAGGAAACCAATGCAGTACTCTTGAAAATATTCAGTGAAGGGGAAACTAAAATGCTACCACTAAAACTGTTACAAAGTCTTTCAATTATATACACATTCATTTATTCATTCAACAATCCTAATATTTATTAGTCATTGAATACAGGGCCGAGCAGACCCAGCGCCCATCCTGGGACGCAGGCAAAGTGGCTGGCAGGACATCATGCATGGCGCAGGTGCTCCATCGCTGTGGGGAGGCTGCTGGGCTGGTGAGAATCTCCCTCCTTTGTGTCTACTGACTGTGGCCCAAATGTCCCTGGAAATGCTGAGGAAGAGGAAGTGTTCGTGCTGAGAGCAAACACTGACAGTGGCTTCGGTCAATATTTGCACCTCTGTGCCCTGAGTCTGCTGTTTGCCTCGCCCGTGGTGAGGGGCGGGAGGGCCTGGTCATGCCTTGCTGGGCAAGCTGAGGCCAGCAGCAAGAGGTCGGGGGCTCACAGCAGGCTCTGCCCACTCCTGATGGCCTCTAGATAAGGCAGGGGAGCACTGGCTGGGAGGCAGGACGAGCTCAGGGAAGCTCCAGCCGTTCAGGGAGGGCTTGATGGCACCTGCGGCCTCTGTTGCTCTGTGGGTACTAGTGGGAGGCCCAGCCCAGGGTGGGCCTGGGCTCTGGCCTGATATTTGGGCTGGTGTGGAGTCAGTGGGAGCCACAGAAGGCTCTGGAATGGGGGAAGGTCCCAAGGACCCTTGTGCCTGTGCCCCAGGTGAGTTATACAGAGGAACAGAGGGGCCTTCCCTGCAGCTGTGCCATCACTCCCATGCACACATGTGCACACAGACACACAAACACACACACACCTGATACCAGGAAACAGTCCACTACACACATACACACAGGCACCGGCAGGCTCAAACACTCAGTAGACCAAACCCACAGATGCATACATGTACACAAAACACCCATCTGCACTCGTGTATGTTTGCGTAAACAGGCATGTAACACTACAAACTAAGATGCCAACACGCCCATTTCATGTCCACACTCACACATAAGAACACATATTTTCCTCTGATGCCAGTAATTATGACCTACTGCACATGTGTACATGTGACTATGCACACAACCACACACACACATAACCTTCTCACACACGTGTAATACAAATTTCTCCATGTGCACACACAGTTTGTTGTGTCCCATGTAGCCAGGGTGGAGTTTGTGGTGAGGAAGATGAGGTGCTAAACCCACTGTGAGTGGGATGTGCATTTGGGGAGAGGCTGGGGTGTCAAGGAACAGGATTGGGGCATCCGCAGTTTCTTTCTTCTTCTTTTTTTTTTTAGACAGCATCTCACTCTGTTGCCTGGGCTAGAGTGCCATGGTGTCAGCCTAGCTCACAGCAACCTCAAACTCCTGGGCTCAAGCAATCCTCCTGCCTCAGCCTCCTGAGTAGCTGGGACTACAGGCATGTGCCACCAGGCCCGGCTAATTTTTTCTATATATATTAGTTGGCCAATTAATTTCTTTCTATTTATAGTAGAGACAGTGTTTTGCTCTAGCTTAGGCTGGTCTCGAACTCCTGACCTTGAGCAATCTGCCCACCTCATCCTCCCAGAATGTTAGGATTACAGCCGTGAGCCACTGCGCCGGGCCCATTTGCACTTTCTTATCTGTTCCCTTTTGAGTTAGGGCTCAGTGTGATCAAGATCAGGGCTTAGTAGTCAGTGACAAAGGTCAGGAATCAGTCAGTGACTGGGGTCAGGGCTCTGTACGTGACCAGGATCAGGGCTCAGTATGTAACCAGGATCCAGGCTTAGTCGGTGACTGGGGTCAGGGCTCTGTATGTGACCAGGATCAGGGCTCAGTATGTAACCAGGATCCAGGCTTAGTCAGTGACTGGGGTCAGGGCTCAGGTAGTCTGCTCCTCCTAAAAGGGCCATGTATCTGGACGAACTTGGAGGCACCAGGCTGGAGAGGTGCCATCTTCCTGCCTTTGGGCACCCCCTTCCTCCTGGGTCTTAGCTGGACCAGGCTGGGGTGATGAGGGGAGCCTCCTAGGACCCTCTTAGGGGCAGCCTTCCTTCCAGATCTCTCCTGGCCCTTGAGGCCGAAGCTGCCCGCCCCCAGGGTTGTGCTGAAGTTGGCAGCCAGGCCTGGCTACGTGGCAGCAGCGTCGCATGTGGAGGAGATGCTCTGGCAGAGGCCGTGTTTGCAGGGAAAACACCTGCGACCACAAGCAAACCTGCCACTCCTCAGGTCCCTTCCCAGTGGCCCTGCGTGCCGAGGAGCCTCATATAGCAGCCTCCACACCTGCCCATCTGGGACAGACGGTTCATCTGCTCACAGAGCCGCCCGAGGTAGGAACGGGAATGGGACCGGCTCTCCTCCCGGAGGAGCCTCCAGTTCCCTGTCTGGTCCGTGGGATACTACCTCCAGCCCCCTTCTGCAGCAGCGTCCGTCCATCCCTGGTCTTGCTGTGGGAGTTTTGGCCAGTGCCACCTTGATGGGCCTCAGCCAGCCCGTCTGCCCAGCAGCCCTCATTCCCACCTGGCTCCCCTCCCGGAGCCAGACACAGACCACCACCCCGGCTCAGCTGGGCTGGGGTGGGAAGGCAGGGGGCCAGGAGAGGGGCCTGCTCTGAGGCCATTCCTCACCTGGCCAGGGTGAGCTGAGGACAGGAGGCACCCTGGGTTCTCCCCTGGCTGGGTTTGGACAGCTGGCACCAGGTTGGGCTGTCACACGGGGCTGGTCTCCTGGCATCAGGCAACACAGCCCTGGGCCTTGGGGTGGTGGGCCTGGGCTCTCCTCTTGGGACAGGAAGCTGCCCTCAGCCTCCTCATGCGGGGTCTCACCATCCTGCTTTGCCCTGGCCTGGGCCTGCAGCCCGCCCCAGTCTGCTGGGTGGCCTTAGGCAGGACCATTCTTCTCTGGGCCTTGGGGACCCTTTCCAGACCCTTCAGTGGTTCTGGATGAAGGAGGCGGGGTGAAGCATTCCCAGCACAGAGACGCGAATACTGATGTCTAGGTGCCCCGGGCAGGGCTGGGAGCTCCGCTGAGGGGCGGGCCGTTCAGGCCAAGCTCTCTAATTCTTTTCCCCCACCCCAGCCCACAGATCCTGGGGCAGCAGTCAGGGCAGCCATGGCTGGGGCGCGTGGGCTGGGCCTGCTGCTGGCGCTACTGCCGGTGGTCAGCGCCGCCATGCCAGGCACCGTGGTCAGACTCAACAAGGCAGCGCTGAGCTATGGTAAGAGCCGGGCCACCGAGCATGTGCCTGCGAGCCCACGTCTGCACGTGTGTGTGAGACCCTGAGTGTGCTGTCTCCCTGGCCCCCAGACAGGGCCTGACGCAGGGCAGCTCAACAAATATTTATTAAAATGAATGCATGCGTGGGAGCATATGTCCTATGGCCAGTGTGCAAGGGAACACACGGACTGTGCTCACGTGCTGTAGGGGCGTGGGCATGGGTCTGTTTGAGTGGCTATTTTTCGTGTGTATGTCTACTTGCGAGTTTGAAATTTCATGGTGATGTGCCCGTGCGTGGACTCAGATGTTGAGGAGGGCGCATGCCCACGGCGCAGGCCTGGCTGTATGGGCACGGAGTGGCTGTGCGCCTTGTGTGCACGCGGGTGCGTGTGGTGTCTGCGTGCATGCGTGTGCTTGGGAGAGGCGAGGCGAGCGCTGCGCTGCAGGGGGCTCCCTACAGCCAGGGCCCTGCTGGGCTCCGAGTGAGAGCACCAGCCCCTCCGGGCCTCGCTTAGGGGAAGGCTGGGTCCTGTGGCTTTGCTGCTAGATCCTTCCAAGTCCTTCTCCATCCTCTGGGGAGGCCCAGGGAGGGACAAAAACTGCCGAAGTCCAGGACCCCAGAACAGAAATCTTTATTCACCTTCGGCTATCTCCTGGGGAGACTTTAGGGTCCCCCCAAAGCTGGGAAATCAGAAGCTGTTTTCCCCAAGGCCAGACCACGCTCAGATTACAGCACGAGGGACTCAGGTCGGACAGCAGAAGCAACTTTCAATGGCCCAGGCCACAAAGCAGTGAGGCAGTGGCTCCGGAAAGCAGCAGGGTCCCCCACCCACGGGCACACACAGCCTTCCGGGACCTTGTATCCGGGCAGATGGGCCGGCACTGAAAGGGGTCAGTGATCCGTGCCGGAGTGTGACGGGCACATGGCACCATGCATGGGTGCCTGCAGGAAGGGACGTGAGGCCATCCACCCTCGCCACCTTCCTGCCCTCTGCCTGTCCTGTGTGAGCCTCCTTTGTCCCCGAGGAGTCCTCCCTGGCTCGCCTGCCTGTGTCTCTTCCTGGCAGAAATCTGGCGGTGGCCCACACCACACCCGTTGCTTCCAAGGCCAGGCTGGGTGGTTCTTACTGTGCCCCCACCCTGTCCTGCAAGCCCCGGAGTCTAAGCCCTGTGTCAGGGAGCACTGCACACGGAGTCTGAGGCCGGGCTGTGAGTCTCAGCTCAGCTGCATTTGGTCAGGCCGGAGCGGGACATCAGGAACACGAAGACCACCACCTGTTTGCTCTGTGTCTGGGGAAACTGAGGCCCAGACAGGCTCAGGGACTTCCCGAGGTCCCACAGTGAGTCTGAGCAGAGCTGGGGCCTGTGACTCCTAATTCGACGCCCCCTTCCAGCCCCACCCACTCTCACCGTAACTCACATCATGTTTAATCAATACCTTTCTCGGGTCCAGCAGCGCAGGTGAGTGAGGAAGCCCAGAAGCCTGGGCGACAGGTGTCTCAGTCCTGAGCCAGCTTCCCTGGCTGGGTGTCCTCACCTCGCTGTAAATTGGGCGCGATAACAGGAACAGTAAAGCACCTGGAAGGGTGCCCGGCCCTGGAAGGTTACCATGGAAGTGGTGGCCCCTGCTGCTACAGATGTAAACAGCAGCAGCGACAGCGAGTACTTACTGTGCACCGAGTCCCTACAATGACCCTGAGCGACACATCCATCACAGTCATTGCAAATTTATGCAGGGAGAACTGAGCCCGGGGCAGCTGCACGGGCAGTGAGGAGCAGAGCTGGGTTTGCACCCAGCATCTGGGGCACTCTGAGTCCTCAGCCTCCCCACCCAGGGGATGCCTCTGCAGCAGACCAGGCAGGACTGGGACATGCTCGTGCCTGGGCACATGGGAGAGGCTCCTGTAGGAGGAGAAGGTGGGACTCAGCGGGAACCTTGCAACAGAGCAAGGGACATTGCTGTTTTTGAGGACGGGGGTAAACAGGCAGGATTCCCTGAGGCAGAGTGAGGGCAGGGCGTGCCCTGCAGAGGGCCCGATTCTCTCGGTGCACCCAAGGTGGGCTCCGGGGAGCCAGCTGCCCCCGCTGTGTGCTCGAGTGCAAGCCCCCCTCCAGCCCACTTCCCCTCTGCCCATGGTGCAGGCAGCTGGTGGTAGATGGCATGTTCTTGCTGCTCAGTGATCTCACCCTGCCCTGGCCCCACAGTGTCTGAAATCGGGAAAGGCCCTCTCCAGCGGGCTCTGCAGGTCACTGTCCCATATTTCCTGGACCGGAGTGGAGAGGTGCTTCGGCCCACCAGGTGAGTGCTCCCACCCTCCAGAGAAGGTGCTCCTGCCTGCTAGGTGGATGATCCCCCCAAGGCGCGTGCTCCTGTCCACTGGGAAGGACCCTCCAGTCCCCCAGACAAGCACTCTCGCTTAGGGGTGGGTGCTCCCCCACAGCTGGACCAGTGCTCCCCTCCCCAAGCGAGTGGATAGCAAGAAGAATTAGGAGAAGGAACCAAGGTGGCCCGGTGCCTCTGAATTTGTGGATTTCTACCCTCAGGGACCAAGACCTGAGTCCCCAGGGCTGGCAGGATGCTCAGCTCCTTCCTCCAATAGCTAGACCCTGAATTTAGACACAAGTCTGAGCTGAATTTACCCCTGCCCTCGCCCCCCTTAACACACAGAGACCCAAAGGCAGAGGTAGGTGGGGTCGTCTCAAACCGAGACACCTCCAGGGGCCGGCCAATTGTCACCATCCACGTGGGAACACAGACTCAATATTGTCATATCTTTGGGTTTCCCAGATATCCATAATCTATCAAATTCTGAATGATGTCAACTGGTTTTAAAGCACCTAAAACTCTGGGACACCGGAACAAGGGGTGGGTAAAAGTAATCTGGCCAGGAGGTCGCCGGCTTGAGAGCCTCAGGCAGGGCGGGGGCTGCAGCTCCTGGCGTGGCTAACAGCGGCGGAGAGCTGGGCGCGGCACGACCACCAGCAAGCGCCTGGTCTCCCCACGCGGTGGACACCACGTGGCTGTTTGCAAACAACGCCAAGGGCCCTCGAGTGTAGACGCGGGAACACACCCAGGGTGGCTGTTGAGGGAACAGGTGCGGGTCCTAGGTCGGCCTGCGTCCCTGGGAGAGTCGTGGAGAGACGCCACCCAAGGCTACCAGTGAGGATGTCTGACAGCGGGTTGTGATGTGACCCTTACACTTCATGCCACTTTGTCCTGTCTGAATTCCTCCCCCCACTACCATACAGGACAAAAATGGCTTTCGTTTAGGAAAAGGAAATCGTAGGTGAGCTAGAGAGTGCCTAGCAAGCAGAGCGGGCAGGTTTGACGGGTGCGTTTCTGTTGGCCGGAACGCTAGAGAGGGAGTTCTGCCTTCTGTGGAGCCCACCGCCTTTTTCCCACCTTCCCACCTTTCCAGACTGCTGTCAGAAATTGTCACAGCCTGAGCAATCGTCTTCCCCAAGTCCTGCCCAATGCTGGGGCCCCTGCATGTTTTCCATCCCAGCTGGTTGTCCACCTTTGGCTTGCATGCCCCCTGTGATGGAGAGCTCACCACCTCTCCCTCACCTCATGGCTCCAGTTGTCGGAAAGTCCTTCTTCCCAACACCAGCAGCGTGGGTGTGCCTCAGAGCATGGTTTAACAGGAGCCTCTCTGTCACCTTGATCACTGTCCTGCAGGATCCAGATTCTGGATGTCCAGGTGTCCCAATTCCACCTGTCCTTCATTGCTGATTTTGGGATTCACTTGTCGGCAGCAGCCAATTTTACTTTTAAGACCTTTCGGTGAGTGAATCTCATTGTTGGGGTGTGAGAGGAGTTTCCGGGATGCTCTGAGGGGCAGAGTGAGGGAGGGGGTTGGCACCTCCTCCAGGGTCGTCACCCAGGTCCCCCTACTGCCTGCCGGTGCCCTCTCCCTCCCACCCTGGGAGAACTCCTGAGAGCCGAGACCCTGCTCGGCAGCCGTGCCACTGGGCAGAGTCGCTTCCCTTCTCCAACCCTCAGTCTCCTCATCTGTAAAGTGGGAGGAACCTTCTTGGGGTGGCTGTGAGGCCGCGGTGAGTGGGTTCATCGCAAGGCACATTGAGGACGCTCCGTCAATGCGGCTGTCAGAATCATTGCCATGCACCAGGCACGTTCCATGTTACTGAGTTTAATTCTCAAACTATGAGCTGGGCATGCAGAGGGAGCTATTATTTTATCTCCTCCGCCTGATACTACAATTTTATGAGTGCTTACTGTGGGCCAGTCTCTGAGCTGGGTGGTTTTACATGATTATTTCATAGAAAACTCAGTGCGGCCTTGTGAAATAGGCACCACCAATCTTACGTCCATTTCACGGAAGAGAAAACTGAGGCTCAGGGCATCAAACGGCTGGCCCAGGGTCTCTTGGTGAGAGGGCCCAGGGAGCCGGAGGTCGCACCCTCCTGCTGCAGTGCCTGTGACCCTGAGTGGAGTTTTGGGGGAGGGTCGAGGCCTGTCCCGGGTGGGGCCGTCTCACTGTGAGTGGCGGGCAGGCACGTGCTGGGGGACTGCGGGGTCTCTTGCCAGCCGCGGTGGGCTGTGCTGAGTGGTGCCACAGGGGCTCAGGACCGGCCTCCCTGCAGTGTCCCGGAGCCCCTGGAGCTGACGCTGCCCGTGGAACTGCGGGCCGACGCCCGCGTGGCCCTGAGCTCCATCGGGACCCCCATGGTCAGCATCTCTCGCTGCTTCCCGCTCTTAGGCCACCCCAGCGATTTCGATGACAGTAACAGGCGAGTACCTGGGGAGGGCAGGGCGGAAACGCCAGATGCTGAGGCTGTGGTGACATGTTTTGAGCTTCCCACTCTGGACTCATCTATTGGCTACCATGGCGTGAGACGTGCCCATGGCCATGCCTGTTTTGTGGCTGTGGACACCAAGGCACAGAGACGGGGAGGGACTTGCCCGAGGTCGTTGCTGGGGCGGGACCTAACGTGGGTGGTCCGGGAACTCAGGAGCCTCCCCTGTCTGTCCCCAGCACGTCCCGAGCGCTGCTGGGCCTGGTGCGGGAGCATGTTAACGCTGTCTTGAGTAACAAGGTAAAGGGCTTGACGATCCACGTCTCAGCAAGGAGGGCGTCATCTGCCCGAAGGAAGGGCGGGTCTCGGGCCTGGGGGCTTCGCTTGGGGTTTTTACAAATAGAAGGCCCTTCGTGGTGCCTCCAATTTCCTGTGAAGGCAGGGAGGGGTGGTGCAACGGTCCCAGGGCTGGAGGGGAGAGAGCGTCATCCTCTTGGGGACACCCAGTTCCACACTGGAGGGCGGGGCGGGGACCCTGTGGTGTATGGAAAGGAGACAAAATCGAGGGGGCAAGTCGTGGGCGCCGGAGCCCGATTGCCGGCCTGGCTGGGGGCTGGCACCTCCTCCCAGCCGTGGCTGTGGGCCGGCCACTCAGCCTCTCTCTGCTCCTGACTCTGCAAAGTCCCTCCTCCTCCGGGTGGTGTGGGGACTAAGCTAAGCGCATGCCTGTCAAGAAGAGTTTCGGACGGCGTGTGGCAGAGTGGGGGCAGCAGTTGTTGCTGTCGTAGCCCCTGCGTTCTCTACATGGGCTGACCTGGGGGTGCCCGCGGCCCATGCGCCCCATCAGCCGCGGCGGCTTCTCCTGCTTCCTCGTGCCCAGAGCCGGCGCGGGAGACGCCCGCCGGGTGGCGGAGGAGGGAGGGAGTCCAGGCTTGGTGCACCGGTCAGGGGCGGCTCTAGACAGGGACCCTGGCCCCTCCTGCCAGAGGGCCCCGGACCCCAGCCTCCTCTCTCTTGCCGCAGCTGTGCCTGGGCGTCGCCAGCCTGGTGCAGGAGCTCAACGTCCACCTGGGCACGTTAATCGGTAAGACCTGGGAGCGGGCGTGGGGTGGGACCTCTGGGACCCTTTGGGGCCCCTGAGGGGCCCAAAGACTCCCCTTCTGGGTCAGGGTCGACCTCTAGGAGGTCAGTCATAGGAAGACTCAATCGTGGGCTCCCCAAACTGCCTAATTATTCACGGGATCTCAGAATCTCCAAGTTGTAGAATGAAGTCTTTGATTCTGTCATCTTTTTTCCTCCCAAACCAAGACGCAAAGTCCAGCACTTTATTAAATAAACCCAGCTTGTGTCCAGGCCCGGTGCCATGCTCAGCACTCTACGAGAACTGTCACACTTAATTGTCACAGCCGCCCTGCGAGGGAGGCTCTATTTATACCCACATTTTGCGGAGGAGGAGGAGGCCCAGAAAGGTTGAGCGGTACAGCCTGGGCGGCACAGCGGAACCCAGCCAGGCGGGCCCCAGAGCTAGATCTCTCAGACTGGATGCGGTGCAGCCTCCTGTCCTGATTTAACATTTCCCTTCAATCAACTTCCTTTCTCTTAAATTATTTGCAAAAAAAACCTTTCTATCACTGTCAAGAATCACAGACCAGGACTAATACTCATGGCATCACCAGTTGGTTGGTGCTTGTTTATCCTTCCTAATGTGGCCTCACCATAAATGCATAACTGTCCAGTTGAAGAATTAGCCACAAAACACCTCCCACAAAGCCCAGGCACGAGCCCCGGACCCCGAGCACGTGCGGAGCCCCCTCTAATGATGTGTGTGCCCACCCCGCACCCCTGCCTCTCCGGGACGGTGCAGAAAGGTTTCGAGGTTTCCATTAAGACAACTGCAAGGTCCCTTCCAATGGTAGGAATCTGGTTTCTGATATCCCACAATTCTGAAAATGTGAATGATTCTAGATTCTAAGATTCCATGGCGCTAAGATTCTCCAGTCTTAAGATTCACAGTTGGAAGATTTTGAGTTCAAATTTTTTTTTTATTGTTTTGTGACAGAGTCCCACTTTGTTGCCCAGGCTAGAGTGAGTGCCGTGGCGTCAGTCTAGCTCACAACAACCTCAAACTCCTGGGCTCAAGCGATCCTTCTGCCTCAGCCTCCTGAGTAGCTGGGACTACAGGCATGCGCCACCATGCCCAGCTAATTTTTTCTATATATATTAGTTGGCCAATTAATTTCTTTCTATTTATAGTAGAGACGGGGTCTCTTGCTCAGGCTGGTTTCGAACTCCTGACCTTGAGCAATCAGCCCGCTTAGGCCTCCCAGAGTACTAGGATTACAGGTGTGAGCCACAGCGCCCGGCCTTGAGTTCAAATTTTGAGTTCAGATTTTTGGGGGTTCTTTAAGCAGCTCAGGGAGGGTGGGCGCGTGACCCAAGGAGACCCCGTCCTTGTCCTCTCTTGGATCTTCAGAGCCTCTGCATGCCAGGCCCAGGGCTGGGCACGGTCTGTAGAAGGCTCTGGGCAGGAGGGAGCGGGCAGGCGGGCCAGGTGCCAGCCGCAGGCCGGGTGCGGGCACCGTGTGCTGCCCGGGAGCTGCTCCTGCAGGTGTGTCGGGGAGGAGTTCATGCAGAGGGCTGGGCAGTCCTGGGCTCTTGCCGTGAATGTTGTGTGTGTGTGCGTGCACGCAGGTGTGTGCATGTGCATGTGTGTGCATGTGTGCGTGCGAGAGCCCATGTGCACGCGCGTGTCCGTGTGCGCGTGTGTGCGTGTGCACGTGCATGTGTGTGTGTGTAAAATGCCCCACAGGATTGTCCTGAGGATTGAACGAGATCGTGTACGTCCAATGTCTGGACCTAGATACACGGGAGCTCTCTTCTTTTTCTGTGGTTCCTTCTTGCCTTTGCCAGGAGGTACCTGTGCCTGCTCTGACCCTCCTCCTTCCTTCCGACGTGGGGTCACTAGTTTTCTACCACACGGGCAGGCGGAGCCCTGGCTGAGAGAGCCGTCTAGGCTGGCGGGCGGCAGGCCAGGCCGTGAGTGGCTAATCCTGGGCCTGCACGTGGCCTCTCAGACGCGCCCACCAGAGCCCTGCCTCGCCGCCTCTGCTGGTTCTCGGCCTGGCTCTGGGTACTCGGGTAATATTTTCTGGACACACGCGGCGTTGGTGGGCAGTGCCAAAGGTGCCATCTCTCTTCTCCATCCTGGTTCACTAAGGCCTCAACCCTGTGGGTCCTGAGTCCCAGATTCGCTACACCGTGATCAACGCACCCACGGTCACCAGCGACTACATTTCCTTGGATATCAGTGTAAGCGCCTCCTCGCCAGCCCAGAGCCGGGGGTGTGTCGCCCTGGAGTCCCTGGTGTCCGGGGAGATCCCTGAAGGAGCAGGGAGTGAGGGGAGCGGAGCGGGGCTGGCACCCCGGCGGGGGGCGTGCCACACAGGCAAAGGTGCGAGGCTGGACAGGTGGCGGCGGGGTGGCGTCTAGGGGCCCAGGATCTGCGTGGAGCCACCTCCCTGCTGCCACCCTGCCGCTCCCCCCGCCCCCAGGCTGTTCTCTTCCTGCTGGGCAAGCCCATCGTCCTGCCCAGGGACGCGCCACCCTTCGCGATGCCGCCGCACGTGCGCTCCGAGGACAGCACGGCCACCGTGGGCCTCTCCCAGCACCTGTTCGACTCCGCCCTGCTGCTGCTGCAGAAAGCCGGCGCCCTCAACCTGGACATCACAGGGCAGCTGGTGAGGGCTGGACCTGCCGCCACGGCGCCTGGGGCAGGGATGCCTGGGGCCCAGCCCGGGGAGACCCCACGGAGGCCAGGTCATGGGTGGGTGGGGCAGCGGGGGTCAGGGGCCACAGGAAAGCGGTGGGGAGAGTTGAGCAGGGTCTGTGATTCCCGCCGTGAGGGGCCAGGGGTGATCTGGCTTGGGGAGCGGCTGCCCTAAAACCCTTCGTGGCGTGGGGGGCTGATTTCAGAGGTCAAAGGACAACCCGCTGAACACCTCCGCGCTGGGCCTGCTCATCCCTGAGGTTGGTGACGTTTCTGCCATTCCAGGGGCTGAGACATGGGCTTGGGGGGGGGTTCCCTGGGCCATGGGATCTCTGCCGGCTCGTGTCTGTCCCAAGTGGGGTTCCGCATCCGATCTAAGTCCGCTCCTCTGTGGCAGGAGGCCCCTCCTCTGCCCAGGCACCACCTTCTTTCTCCCCCTCTCGCCTTTGCCCAAGCGGTGCCTGCTGCCTGGGTGCCTCTTCCTGCCTTTCCCTTGTCCATGCTCACGGCTAAGCTCGGGGACCGCGGTCCAGGGCAGGACCAAACCTCTAATCCAGCAGCCTGGATGCACCCGCCCCTGTGGCCCAGCCACGCACAGCACAGCAGTGGTTCCACCAGCACGTGGGGAGTGACGCAGCCCACCCAGGTCTGCCCCGGCGGGGCCTCCTCCCACTCTGCCTCCCCAGGTGGCCCGCCAGTTCCCCGAGCCCATGCCTGTGGTGCTCAAGGTGCGGCTGGGCGCCACGCCCGTGGCCAGGCTCCATCCCAACAACGCCACACTGCAGCTGCAGCCCTTTGTGGAAGTCCTGGCCGTGGCCTCCAACTCGGCTTTCCATTCCCTCTTCTCCCTGGACGTGGTGAGTGCTCTGCGCCAGGCGGGGCTGGCCGGAGGCGGGCGACTCTCAAGGAGCTCTCACTGCCTCGTGCCCTCTCCTCACTCGCTTTGTTCGATTCACACTGGTCTCCTCGCTGTTCCTCGAACATGGCAAGACATTCCTGCCCCAGGGCCTTTGCACGCTCAGAACCCTAGGACTCTCCTGCCCTGGCTCTGGGCGTGGCTGGCCCCTCGTCATCTTTCAGGTCTCGGCTTAAAGGTCGGAGCCTTAGGGCAGCCTTCCTGGCCCGCCCTGAGTGAGAAGGTCCCCAGCAGCCTTCAACACGCCCCCACTCTGCCTTCGTGGCACCTGCCACTCTCTGAAAGGATCCTCTCTTGTTCCTTTGGCTATTGTCTGCCTCCCCCGCGGGCCTGCGGCGGCGGGTTTGCAGGGCAGGGACCCGGCTGCCCTGTGCGAGCCCCATGCTCACCGCGCGGCCTGGCGCACAGCGGGTGCTCCGTGCCCTCCTGCTGCCTGGACATGCGGGGAGGTGCGAGGGGGCTGGGTAGCTGGTGGCCCACCAAAGGCTCCCTCGTGGCTCTGTGACCACTTACCTGCTCTCCCCACACACCCAGGTGGTGGACCTGAGCCTCCAGCTCTCTGTGTCCAGGGCGAAGCTCCAGGGGGCCACGTCTGTGCTGGGGTAAGCCAGGCCTCCCGGGCCCAGCAGCCTCAGTGTGCTCTGCGCAATGGGCCGCGGCCACATGGGCCACAGTGGAGGTCGGGGAGCCTGGGGCCAGGGTGCGCTAGGCCCATCCAGACCCTCCTGCTTCCTGTCCCTCTTTCAGGGACATCCGGGTCGAGGTGGCCTCCTCCAATGTGGGCTTCATTGATGTGAGTGCAGGGCTGGGGTCTCCAGAGACCCCTCTGGGTGGGTTGGGCTTGAGCCTGGGGAAAGGGTGTGTGTGCATGTGTCTGTATGTGTCACCATAATCAGGCTTCCCCAAGGGGCCTGGGGACAGTGGCCAGTCAGCCTGCCTGTCACTCTGAGTTGATGACTCGTCACCCAGCCCTCAGCCCAGAGTCCACCAGTTGGACAAGCCAGAGTGTGTGCCGTCCCGTGGTGCCATGGGCCACCAAGCATCCACTTGTCAGTTGATGTGCCAGTCCGTGTGCTGCCCCCTCCACCCGGCTGTCCGTCTGTCTGTCTGTTGGTCATCTGGTGGCAGGCGGTCTGCTGGCCAGTCCTGGTCACATTGCGTGGGTGCCAGGCTAGTCAGTGCTTGTCCTTCAGCCTCCCCTTGGGCAAGCGTGGCTCTCCGGTGCCTGACCAGCCCTGGGGTGTAGCTCGGCTCCGCTTGAACCCAGGACATAGGTGACCCGTCCTCCTTCCTTCCCCCTCCGCCTCTGCCAGCTGTCTGTCTGTGTGTGTGTGTGTGTGTTATGCGTGTGCCTAACTGCCCATCTCTCCCGGCCCCTCGGCTGGAGTGGGCCTGTGTCCCCCTGCACTGGCTCTGTGGCCACAGAAGGATCAAGTGCATGCACTCATGGGCAGCGTGTTTGAGGAGCCCCTGCTGGAGCACCTCAATGGTGAGCCCTTCCCTCTGCCCCAGCGGGCCCCTCAGGCCCCTCCTGACCTCACCCCTGCCCCTCACTCAGTCCCCACCCCCTTCCCACCTCCCTGCTCCGAAATTAAGAGGGTGGCACCTTGACACACATGGGCAGCTGTGTGACCTTTGCTAAGTTCCTGTCCCTCTCTGAGCCTCAGTTTCCCCTTCTGTGAAATGGGTATAATAACAATGGCATCCACCTCCTGGTCGTCTGGGGGAGGCAGCGCCATGATGCACATGAGGACACCGCTCAGGGCCGGCTCCGGGCGATGATCTGTTACTGCTCCCAGCACAACTCGATCCTCCTTTCTACCCACAGCTCTCCTGGGCATAGGAATTGCCCTCCCCAACGTGGTCAACCTCCTCTACGTCACCCCCGAGGTCTTTGTCTACGAGGTGAGAGCCTTTGGGTGCGACCAGAAGGGCCTCCTCCAGCGTCGGGGGGGAGGCTGGCTCAGTGAGACGGGGGTCATCTTGCTCCCTCCGCCTTGCCAGTGCAAGTCGTGGGGGTCAGGGTCAGCCAGGCCTGGGAGTGCACCCCGCTCCCGCCAAGACCACGCCGTGAATCCTTACCTGCAGGAGATGGATAAGTCAGGGCATCAAGAGGCGCTGGTGCCCAGGCTCGCCCGCCTGGCAGTCCCCATCAAATATCACAGCGGGCCACACTCGGGGTTTGTCCCATGGGCACCACCCCTGTGGGGTCTGGAGGAAGATGACAGAGGGGCTCCTTCTAGCTTTGTAGACAACCTTCTGCAGCCTGGATGGGGGGAGGGAACTTCCTGAGCATTCTAGAGTTGCTTTCCCTGGATCTGAAACTGTGGACCCAGGGTGAGATCCTACAACTTTTTTTTCCCGTTTTACCTGGGATAGAGGGGGAAATTCACTCAACAAGACAGGCATAGAACAGAAACTGAACCAAGGTCTCTCAAGCCCAGCATCTTCATGTGCTGGTCGCAGCCCCTCAGTGGGACCCGCCAGTGTCTTCCCACGGAGGATGCCTTTGTTCTTAAGCACTCTGGTCCCAGGGCTGGGGCGATGCACCCACATGAGAAGGAACAGCTGGTGCACAGAGGGGCAGGGCTGTTAGTGGGGATTGCCCAGGCTCCCCCAAATGGGCACGGTCAGTGGCTGACCCCCCTTGACACTCCTGAATCCAGCCAACCGGGACACAAATCAAAGGTCCCTAGATCAGCACTGGCTGGAAATTTGCACCGTCCAGAGCAGAAGCCACTATCGGCCACAGGCACGTGTGGCTAACGGCTACGGTGTCGGACCACGTGCCCCTAGACTACGAGCTGTACTGGGCAGGAGGCGGGTCTGGCTTGTTCTCTGCTGGGTCCCCAGCACTTGCCACAGGGCTTGGCTTGTAGCAGAGGCTCAGTGAAGATTTGTTGAATGAATAAATGAAAGAGCAGTGGTGAGAGTAGGAGTATGGAGGGTCCTCTGCTGGGGAGATCTGGACTCGGAGAAGATTCTGGATGGTTCTGGAATTCTGGTCCCCAAACAGCAGTGGTCCCGACCACTGGACACACATCTGGTGCTGGCCCCATGCCCAGTGCTCCTCCTGAGGGGTCTCACTGCACCTCACAGCCGCCTTACCACCCCCAAGTGACAGAGAGGGAAACTGAGGCCTAGAGAGGCAAAGAAGTCTAATCTGGACACACAGCCAGCATGGCAGAACGTGAACTTGGAGCCAGGCTGGCGGGCGGTTGGGGTCCTTCCTGGAACTCGGGTGGCCTCTGACCTACTCCATGGTTTTCTCTGCGCTTCAGGGCTACGTCGTGGTTTCCAGTGGACTCTTTTACCTGCACTGAGGCAACTTGACTGGGAGGGCTGAGTGTGCCAGCTCGCTGCTCTGGGGACACTGTGACCTCACGCCATGGCGGACACTGAGGCAACACCACACTCAGCTGTCGCCAGCAAGCCAGACTGCCCAGCCAAGCTGTTTAATCTACACCGAGTGCCTGGGTCCCCCTCTCTCCCTTCCTCCCCGACTCTCCCCCTCCTCTTCCCTCACCTCCCTGCTCCGTCCTCTGTCCCCTCCTGGTGGGCAGCACACTGCTCCTCCAGGCTGTGTAGACCTCCCCTCTTGCATTAAACAACTTCTTTTGAGCTGCAACTTCCAGCCAGGCCTGGTGAACTCTGCGTATTCAAGACAGTGCCTGGGTCCTGTCTGTCCCTGGAGCCACCAAAGCTGCCTGGGGGAGGAAGAAGACGTGACCACGGCTGTGTTGACCACATTTGTTGACTCTGTCACCCCCTTGCTCAGGGGACCTCCTTTTTTGAAAGATGGCCCCGGACAGCAACACGGATGAGCTGGAACTAAGAGCACCATGGTGGCCCTTCAGGCACTGTGCCCTCTGCCTGGTGGCCTGCTCCACCTTGTTACTAGAACCTCAGAAGAGCCCTGTGAGTTGGGCAGGCAGGTCTGGAGTTCCACTTTACAGACAGGGCCAGAGGAGAGGAATGTGCCCAGAGTCTCAGAGCGGGGTGGTGGCAGGTCCCTAGGATTGTGACCTTCCTAGCACCTGGACACAAGATGTCTGGTTCCCTATCCCATCCACCAGCTCCTCCACCTGGACTTTGTCCTTAAGTCACAAACTTCAGCTGATGGGAGGTTCATGCCTTTCCCGCTGCCTCTCCGGCTTTGGTTCACTCTGGGCGTGAGTAAGGGCTTCGCTCCAAGGAGGCAGATCTGCTTCCCTGGCCTGTGCCCTTCTGCTCTCACCGAATGTGTGGAACTCCTTCTCGCTCTGAAAGCCCTTCAAACCCCGTGGGTCGGAACCAACAAGGTGGCCCAGGGAAGACCAAGGGTGCAAACACCATCTAGTCAAGGACGTGTCATACCACCCCCCCACCCCCCCCACCCCCGTTACGCTAATCTCTTAGCCAGAGGTCTGATTTCTTCCTGCCTGGATGCGCAGGATTCGTGCTCTGCTTGTGTTTCCTTTGGAGCCTGAATTTCCACCGTCAGTAAGCAAAGCCTTTGGTCCCGTGTGACACTAGCCAGCCCAGCCGCCCTATGGGAGTTCAGGTTCATTCCTGAGGTCTCCAGCGTGACAGGCTGAGGGGACTGGACCGAGCCCAGGGTCTTGGTGGTAGAAAGAGGTATGGGTAGTGCCGAGAGTGGAATGGAGCAGACTGGAACATCCAACCTCATGAATTTGCTCAGGACAGCATGGCTTTAATTTCATTTAGTTGCTTAGTTAATGAATTATTTGATCCTACTGTTATTGAGGGTTAGTACAGGCTCAGCCCTAGGCCAGGTAGTCTGGAGTATGAGAAAGACACAGATCCAGCCCATAAAGGAAGTTAATAATCTAGAAAATATTATGAGCTCAGTATGTAGGATCTTTCCAACCATCAGTTCAGTCCATTGGTCCATATATCCATCCATCCACCCACCCTCTATCCATCCATCCACCCATCTACCTACCCACCCCATCCATCCAACCATCCATCCATCCATCCATCCATCCATCCATCCATCCATCCATCCACTCATGCCCATCCATTCATCCATCCACTCACCTCCATCTATCCATCTATCCATCCATCCACCCACCCCCCCATCTATCCATCCATCCATCCATCCACCCACCCACCCCCATCTATCCATCCATACATCCATCCATCCACCCACCCCCATCCATCTGTTCATCCATCCACTCCCCCAAACCCCATCCATCCATCTATCCATCTACCCAACCCCATCCATCCATCCACCCCACCCCCATCCATCCATCCTACTCCTCCATCCATTTATCCATCTACCCACCCCCTATCCATCCATCCACACATCCACCACTCATCTATCCATCTACTCACTCATCCTCCATCCAGCCAGCCATCTATCCACCCATACCCATCCCTCATCCATCCATCCATCCACCCCCATCTATCCATCTACCAACCCCCATCCATCCATCCATCTACTCCTCCATCCATCCATCCATCCACCCACCCACCTTCATCTACCCATCCATCCTGTCATCCACCCATTTATTCAATCATTTTTTCCAACCAGCCAGACTTTGTTTCCATGATGTGCCTGGTTCAATAATATATGTTCTCTTAAGAGGAGAGGCATGAAAACTCCTGGCTCAAGCAACCTGCCCAGAGGGAAACCCATGGTCTGCCGACAGAGAGCTGTCCAGTCCCTGAGAGGTGCCATTGGTCATTCAGTGAGGCGCCTGCTGGGCACCGGCTGCTCAGAGGGCCGAAGAGTGCAGCAGTCTGAGTCCAGTGAGAAGACAGAAACCACACGGAGCTTAAGCAGGGGAAGTTCGGTGTGAAGAGTTATTCACTACAGTGAAAGGGTAACTGTGAGGTATAAGGAAGGATGGCAAATTTGGAGCAATAGCAGGGAAGGCGTCATGAGGGACCAGGCAGGGCAATTTTGGGGCTGGGGGAAGGGAGGTCAGAGAGGCTGGCTGGAGCCCCACTGGGTCCGCCTTGGCAGGTCTCGGCCTGGGCTGTGCCACTCACTCACTGTGTGAACTTGGGCAAATGGCTTGACCTCTCTGAGCCTCCATTTCTCTATAAAATGGAGATTGCCAAAGTGCCCACATCATAGGGCAGTTCTGAGGACTAAATGTGTGACTTGCCCTAGCGTGGTGCCTGGAGGTGGAGCGCACAGTAAACGGGTCCTATCATCGCTATGATAGCGTCATAGAGTTCTGTCCCCCACCATAAACAGGACAAAAAAGTGGCCCAGGGAGGTTGAGGGGGCTGCCCCAAGACACACAGCTTGGGGGGCGGTGACTGGGACTGGGGCTTAGGTCCCTGAACCGACTCGCAGGGTTCCTCGTGTCTTCCCACCCCAGGTCCTTCCTGCCCCCCACCTACACCGTACCCAGACGGCCCCGGGGGAGAAAGGGAGGGCCGGTGACTGGAGCCGGAGGTGCAGGGTGGATTTGTAGGCGGTGGTGGCGTGAGGCCTGCCTGTCCCGTCTGCGGGGGCGGGTCCGTAGGGATAAGCGATGCTATCTGCAGACTGGCTCCTGCAGCCGGATCAGGGCAGAGACTGGCTGAGCCCCGAGGGTCCTGGTCTTGCCCTGTCGCAGCTGGTTCAGCCACACCTCGTGACCTCAGGCAGCACTGGCTCCCCCCGTTCCCGCAGTGGCCCCGTGGGCTTCCTCAATCTCCCACGTTTGCACGTGCCAGCCCCCCCAAACACCTCCCCCGTCTTGTAGAGCTGGTCTGCTCGGCCCCTGGCGTCGGCTCCGACACCCCTGCCCAAGGGCTCTCTCGGCAGTGACAAGAACGCTGTTCTCCGTCCCTGCCCCGTGCCCCTGGTTCGGTGGTGGCCCCCACCCTCGCCTCCCTCAGGAGTGGCTAGCTCTGCGGTTGGTGACTTGCATGGCACCTGCTCCCCTTTTGGGCTCCAGGAACCCTCAGGACAGGAACCCCAACTGCCCTGTTCACCCCAGTGCCCTGCACAGAACGGCGCACAGTAGGCGCTCAATGTGCGTTTGTTGAAGAAACAAATGCATGCCTACTGTGTGCCCAGCCTTGCAGGAGGTGCTGGGTCTACGAGAGGGGCCAGGGTGAGCACGGGCGCCTGCCCAGGCCACCAGAGCCTGTCCCCAGCACCTGCCCTTCTGTGGTCACCAGGCTCCCTGGACACCCTTGTCCTCTGTGCTATTTACGTTGGAACAGACTGAAGTGTCACGTGAGCATCGGGGCTCCTGTTCTTTGGGCCTTTAGATAATTATCGGGGCCTTATTAAACCCTCAATTATCCAGGCAGCTAATCAGGCTCCCGAATATAAGGGCTTCCTCGTCTCAGGGTCGGGAGGCAGGGGTCAGTCATCTGCAGGACTTCCCTAAGCCGGTGTCAAGGTAAGGCCAGTCCCCTACCTGTGGAGCCCTCCCGAGAGTGTCTTATCCAGCGCTGGCGTTTTACAAGTTAGAAAACTGAGGCTCAGAGAGGGGAAGAGACTCGCCTGAGGTCACACAGCAGACGGGTGGCTGGGCCAGGGCTCGGATCTGTATGTGCTGACCCACGTGCTCCACACCTCCCCGTGCCCTCTTCAGATGCTGCAGGACTTGGGAAAAGTCAAGGGCGCAGCAGAGCCAATGGGCCTCCCTGGGTTCCACCTGAGGCCGAAGGGACACCGGGGAGGGAACAGCCCGGCTGTGCTCTGCAGGAACTCAGAGCGGAGCTGGGCAGCCAGGGGTGGGGCAGCTGGGAGCATGTGCCAGGCAGGGTCAGGGAGGACGGGACTCCTGGCGGGGAGGACATGAGCAAGGGGTGGGAGCGGGGCGGCAGGAAACGCGCACCAGGTGGGATGGATTATGCGCATGGTCGGTTCAAACTGGGATCTTTGAGGCTGGGGGTAGTCGGGGTTGTGGGAGGCTTCCTGGAGGAGGAGGCAAGGGCTGACATTAGGACCTGAGGGATGAGCAGGAGATGGGTGGGCGAGGGAGGGAAGGCATTCCAACAGGGAGGGACAGCTAAGGCGAAAGCACGATCAGAAACAAAGCCCCGGCATTAACCGTTTGTCCCAGAAACTCCCACATGACCCTGTGACCCCAAGACACTTGTCATTCCAAGAGGGCAAAACCCCCGACCTGGGTGACCCCAGCACCTGGCCTGGGAATGGGGAGTCTGGGCTGACGCTCAGCCCCCCGCACTGGGGGACGGGGCTGGGGCTGGGGGAGACCTTCACCAAGCCCCTCCCGGGGCTGTCACCTGGCACAGACCCTGTAGCCCCTCTGGGGACAATCTTCAAAGACATTCTGCGCTGGGCGGTCATGGACACGAGCACGTGCCAAGGCACACGCACATGTGTTCATGGGGTCGAGGAAGCACTAAGATCTCTTATTTTTAAGCCCA